TTAAAGAAGGCCAACCAGTGGGCGAAGGGGAAGACGTAGACGGTGACCAGGCGGAGCTGGCCCTCGCTCAGCCGCCCGTAGTCCGTCAGCAGCATCAACGTCCAGAGGGGCAGCCAGGAGAGGGTGAAGAAGAGGGCGACGATGATGAGCATGTTGATGACCTTGGCCTTCCTCCGGGAGACCCTCCTCCCCTCCGGCTCCTCTTGGCCGCGGGCAGGCGCCGTTGACTTGAAGAGCTTGAAGGCGATGCGGGAGGCGAGGCGGGCGTACATGACGACGATGAGGGCGAGGGGGTCCACGTAGATGTGGGAGAAGAGGACGGTGGTGTAGATCCTCCTCATCCCTGTCTCGGGCCAGGCCTCCCAACAGGAGTAGAGGGGGTAGGAGTTGTTGTAGGTGTCCACCATGAAGTGGTGCTCCTCCCTGGTGACGGTCAGGGTGATGGCGGCGGGGCACATGATGAGCAGGGCCAGCACCCAGATGATGGCGATGGTCACCAGGGCTTTCCTCAGCGTCAGCTTCTGCCGGAAGGGGTGGACGATGCAGCGAAACCTGTGGGAAGGCAGACGGTGGTGGCTTTGGACAGCTGGTGGGACATCCCTGGGGAAGGAGGGTGGCCAGGACCCGGGGGTGGAAAGGGAGGCTAAGGTGGTTTGTTCTTTACATATGGCTTTTGGTGGCAGAGATAGGTTGGGATCTCTCCAGCTTTGGTGTTTTCAGCCCAAGGTGGGGAAGGACACCTTGCTGGGATGCCCCATGACAGCTCTGTGGTCCTCCTGGAGAGCTGGGCCATGCTCCTGATGTCCCCAGGAGTTTTCCCATGATGGAAACCACACAGAACACCCAAACACGCTGGGGGTGGCTTAGTCCCCATATCCCCACATCCCCAGCACCAACGTACCTCTCCACGGCGATGGCCACCAACGTGAAAACTGAGGCGGAGACGGACATGCCCTGCACCAAGCCGCTCATTTTGCACATGGCGTTGTCAAAGGGCCAACCTGCGAGGGGACACCGCGGAGGTTGTAGATGCCTTTGGCTGGGCCGGGTCCATCGGCAGCTCCTTCTAGATGTCCCCATCCACCATGTTGGGCTGCTAAATCCTGCTCCCAAGGGGAGGGCTGCATTTTTGGCTCATACGGAGATGGCCTTTAGCAGTACAGATGTGTGGAGAAAAACCCCAAAATTGGTAAAAACCCTGTGTATTACACATCTTAGAAACTCAAGGAGTTGTCATTTCTCCTACCCTTACGTAGGGCTCTAGCTGTTATCGCGGGGACCGACCTTGGGATCCTCGATCAGAAGGGCTTTCATCTTGTTTCTTGACCCCCGCTAAGGTGTTGGCAATAAATAAATCACACCCCATAATAAATAAATACAGACTCTGCCCTGTGCCCCAGCTACTGCTTCGGCTAAACTCCGCCAACCATGCCAATGCCGCGCTTTATCTTTGGAAAGGTCAACGGGCAGCGCTGAGCCAGCGCGGGGAGAAGATTGATGCAAGAAGAGGGTTTTTTTCAGTGCTGCTTGATGGAGAACAGCTGAACTTTAAATAAACATGTAAATGCAGCGTTAAGGTCATACTTATTTGGCCAAAAAATGTCCAAAACCTTAAAAAAAAAAGGACTTTTCCCCCTAAAATAGTAGGTCTAAATGAAATGATACCTTTTATCAGGTGTGGTTGAGGAGCCACCACCTGCCCTCCTCATCCTCAGCCAAAAAAAGCACCCACGGGCAGGAGATGTGGGGGTGGCCTCACGTGTGGGGGGCAGAAGGTGGGTGATGTTCCCCACCGGTTTCTCTCCCTCCCCCCTGCCCCACTCACCCGTGATGAGGTTGTCCACCAAGGTAGTGGGCATGCAGAAGATGCCCACCAGCAGGTCGCTGATGGCCAAGTTGAGGATGAACATGTTGGTCACCGTCCGCATCTGGCGGTTCTTCACCACGATGAAGCACACCAGGATGTTGCCGATCATGCACATGAGGAAGATGAAGGTGTAGGCCAGGATGAACATGGCGGCCACAGGGGAGGAATGCTGGTAGTACGCCGAGAAGGTGTAGTTCTCCCTCAGGAGGTGGCTCTCACTTGCGGTGGAGTTGGGCCAGCTGCTGTTGGAAGGGCCTGGGGAAGGGAAGGCAGGAAAGTGAAGCTGGAAGAGGATAAAGCGATTATTCCCTTCATTTCTTAATGCCCTCGGAGGTGGGTTTTCATATTTATACCAGTGCCCAGCCTGGCCGGGATGTGTCCTACTGGGATCATCTCAGTGCCCCAATAAATCTCCTCCTCGTTGGGTTAGGTGGCCCAAAGTACCGCAGCACCTCAGCTGAATTATTATTTTATATCATTATTTTGATGAGGAATTAAAGCAGCCCAGAAGACATCCCGTTCTCATGGGATTTTTTTAGGGATGATGCAAAGAAGAGAAACTCATGTCCCGACACCGCAATGCTCCGGCCGTGCGGGAGCCGTGTCCTTGGGGTCCCCGGCACGGCCGACCCGGGAGCATCCCTGCTCCCGGCTGTCTGCTGCTGCTTCTCCTTGCGCTTCCGAGGTTTGCAATTTGAGAGCCCCTAAAATCTTCTTCTCCCCGGCAAAGCCGCAGTACCCGAGGGAGACGGGCTGAGGAGGAGGAGACCCTGCCCTCCCCTTACATATAGAGCGAGAATTATTCATAATTAATGCCATTATCTGGGACCGTGAGAGCTTCCGATGGAGGCGGGGGGGTGGCATTTTG